CAAGTCAGGGATAGAATATTAGAACGTGGATTTTCTGAGCAATTGCTCCATGTCTAGTTGTATCGTGCATTTTGTGATATTCTAATTCTTAAAGTTGTATCTGGTGAATACTTCATATGGTAGATTTTTGATAATACAACCCTGTCTTATTTTTAAACAATGTCAGGTGGCAAGATAATAGATTCTTTTTGAGGAAGGGTAAACAAATGTTCATAAATGATTTACTTAGTGATTTTGCTTAATTAATGTTTTTCATTACCAGAATAATTACTTTAACTCATTTTTCTGTTTTAGAGACCTGCCTGGCTTTGATAATTAACTATAAATAGTTTATACAGTGTCATGGCGTATTATCTGATGGCTTTTATAATATTAAAGACTAAAATATCTATTTTAAGAATTGGAGCCAAATTTAATTTAGCAGATTTATTTTTTACTAAGTTCAGGCCAGATAGAAAATCCTGCTGTGTTTAGAAACTATAATGAATATGTACTGTTGTTCTTGCCTTTTATCCTAATGGACACCACTGTGTTTTAAAAAGATTTTTTAGACTATCCTTAATACATTATCAAATCAGTGAGGCCATTGAATATTTTGCAGAGAGAAGCCTGAAAAGCATCCTGGGTCTCAATCTAGCCCCAAGGCCAACTTTTTGCTATATATGAAGTTTTAGACCAATCACAGTCTCACCAAACTTTAGTTATTTCCAAAAATTACAGACGAATGAGAGTTTAAGCATCTCTTCCGTCTCATGAATTTTGTAATATTTTGGGGTAATGAATTTATATGCAGTTTTTACTCTATTATTTCTTCCCAGTTCTGAGAAATAAGTCTAATAATTTGGGCTGCATGTTATTTTTTTTTAACATTCTCCCAATAATGGATTCCAGATAGCTTTTCCAGGTGATGGTGGTAGTTTGTTTTCTGATCCCAGGCTCACATACAGTCTTTTGGGCCTAGATGTGAAAACACTTTGCCTTTCCCTTTTCAAAAACACCACAATATATTCTAAATTGAGTGTGTGAATCCTAGGGAAAGTAACTCTCATCTTTCCCTCTACCCCTGGGCTCTAGGGTCTCTGAGTAAGTCTCCATCTTTTAGCAGTGGCCTTTGAAACACTGAGTAGCTGTCCAACAATTCACTTTCATAGCTGTGAGCTTTTCCCCTTTTGCACGATTGCAGCATCAGCTGCAGGAAAACAATATGCCTGCTGTTAGTTTCAAGCTTCAAAACTTGTTTGAAAAATAAAGATTTATTTCCTCACGAAATTTGGAAGGTTAGCTTTACTCATGTGTGTCAGAATTATGGGGCTTTAAAAATGTCATTTGGAAGTGGCAGCTTTGGTAAATATTTATGAAATGTCACCATGGGCCCAGCTGGGCATTAGAAAAGAAGTAGGATATTAAAAAAGACCAGGGCATACTTCTTGGAGTAATTAATAGCTTGTATTATTTTTACATGATTGGATCCTCACAGCAGTAGGAGCCTGTGTGGAGATAGACATGGTAGTTGTTAATGCCATTTTCCAGAGGAAACTGAGGCTTGGCAAGGTTGAAGGACTTTGTCAAGAAGGGAAGTAGCCGAGCTGGGTCTCAAATGCAGGCTCGTCAACTCACATGGCTAGTGCTCTTTCTACACACCAGGCAATACAAGACTGTTAAATTATATTGTGTGTCACAGAGATTCATGGTGTGAGGAATTCAGGTAGAAATTCAAAGAATTGCAAAGTGGAGTGGCCAGGTAAGGCTTTGCAGAGGAGGACCTTAAAGACTAAGGGAAGAATCTGGACTGTTGAAGAGGAGTGGTGGACAATTCCAAGTTGATGGGAAGCACAGGGTTCTCTTAAGGAGGGAATGATTTTTTTTGTCCCGGTTAATTAATGAAAGCCATTAATTTTTTTTTTGCCATCCCTTCAAGAGTCTCTCTGGCTCTCAGAAACTACCTGCTGGGCTTGCCTTTGCAAGATTAGTGTTCCTTCATTTAGGTGAATGCTTATATTAAATTTTCTTCTACCATTTGATTTTTTTTTTTTTTTTCTGTTTTAAGGTTTATTATCTCTTAAGAGGAGATGATGTGACTGTTTCTCCCATCAGAGAGAAGTGAAATAACACCTTGGCCTTGGTCTGGTCTCTATGGTTCTGAGGGGGTTTCCCATCCTGGCCGACTTCCTGGGTTGGGCAAGGGGGAAAATGCAGAACTTAGATGAAAAGGCTGTGGTCATTTCCCTTGAGCCTGAACACTCGGTTGAGGACTTTTCTTAAGAGTCCTCATAACCACTTCAAGATGTTGAGGGTTCTGTTGGCTGTTGTCCTACTTCAGCTGAGGAGTATTTGAGGAGAGGCCTTGGATCTGATGCCATGGAGATCCCCTCTCCTGCACAACCTCTTGCCAGAACTCCCATTCGGCGTGTGTGTCTTCTCAACACTCTCTGGGCAGTACTGGTGGCAATTGAAATTCCTCTGCAGTGGTTTTTAAGTGGTCAGAGATTCACTTTGGTTTTATATTTCTTTCTGGAGAATGCCTGTCTTTTTCTTCTTGCCCATCCAAATCGTTTTAAAGCAGTTTTCAATATTGGTGACATTTTTAGGAGGTTTGTTTTCCATTAAACCATCTATATGTTGCTAGATCTAAGAAATATTTCTGAAGATATTGAGCAGGTATTGATTGAGCACCTTCTGAGGTTGTAGTTCTTCCGCACTGACTCGTGGGCTTTGGAGGGGGTGGTCTAGACAGACACTTAATCACGAGAGGGTGTGATACGGACGGTGCACGGAATGCAGATGTTCAGAAAAGGGAATGCCCTGTTCTTTTGCAGGGTCTGGAATATCTTTTAAAGCTATTATTGCCATTTGACTGGTTATCATTTGGACTAGAAAACTGGGAACAGACCATCTTCATTCCATCCTCATTCCCGAGACAGATTTTGGGGTTCAGTAGAGATGAATCCAGTAGAAAAAAGGGCAGGGAGTAGGACAGCCTTGATGAAGTCAATTTGAGAAATCCTGGTAGTAGTTTTTTTACTGGAAGACTGTCTTGAGCTTTTAACATCCTGGTGTGTACTGCTGTCCCCAGGAGAGAGATTATAGTGTGCAGTTCCTAGGCTTATTTGCCTACAGAGTTTTTTTTTTAAAGCATGAAACATTTTATCAGATTATTATTCTATAGAAACTTACTTAGGGAAACAGTATCATCAGTAATTTTCAGCTCTTAAACCCCCAGATCTGTGCAAGCTTTTTGCAATTAACACAACATTCATCATTTGAGGAAAAAAATAGTCCATTGGTGGGGCTTTTTCCTAGTGAGAGATAGTGGACAGTGGCTTTTGGATATGATAGACAGTTTGAGAAGGGAAAAAAAAAAGGATATGGACGCCAACAGAGACCCTTTGAAAATCACTGCTTTTTGAGCTAGGTTATATTTTGTCAACTTTCATATCTGGTTTCTTAGTTACGTACTGACAACAACCCTATGAAAGAAATACTTCATTATCATCATCCCATTTTATAGGTGAGTAAGCTGAAGCTCACATAATGGGTTATGTATACATGGGCGATGCTGAGAGTGGAACTGTGCTCTGCGTTGTGCCGAAGGCCATGCTTCATTAACTATGATGCTTTTTTTTAGTATTAGGTCTTTTGTTTTTAAGTTTTCTTTTTATTTTAAATGCTCATTATAAAAGTAATATGTGCCTATTAAAGAAAAATAGATGGGAGAAAAATAGGAAATACCCCCAGAACTATCAAGTATAGCTTCAGTTAATATGTCCTATATTTCTTTCCACTTGTTTTATGCAGTGTTGTATAGGTTGAATATTCCTTACCCCAAATGCTTGGGACCAAAAGTGTTTTGGATTTCAGATACTTTTTTCCCCCCATATTTTGGAATATCTTTTTTCTCTTGCCTCCATAATTCATCCGGTTGAGCACCCCTAATCCAAAAATCTAAAATCCTAAATGCTCCAACGACCGTTTTCTTTGCATGTCATGTTGGCGTTCAAAAAGTTTTGGATGTTGGAGCATCTTGGATTTTGGATTTTTGGATTAGAGATGCTCTGCCTGTATTAGTTAGCCATGATTGTGCTTATAATATATACATTATTTATATATATTTATAAATTTATGAAATTTTGAATCCTGCCTTAGAATCTTCCTTACAGATATGCCTTTTGTTTATCGTCATATAGTTGGCCAAATATTTTAATAAATAAATACGCTGAACTAGGACTCAGAAACTTGTAACTCTTCTATACAGGCTGCCATTTGACTGTGGGCAAGTTCCTTGACCTTTCTAAATCTCAGATTCTTCACTTACAAATGAAGGAATTTGATCAGATTCTTTATTTTCAAACTATGGGGTTCCACAGAACCCCGGGGGCTGGGAATAGAAGGATCAACAGTAGGCCAGAGCTTGGCTCTTCACTCCATCTGTGCTTCCACCCAGGCAGCTGCATTTCTAACTCTTTCATACATTTGGGGCTTAAGCACATTTGGAAAAGGGGCTTTACTGATTTTTTGGTACAAGACTCTATTATACCAGGTGATCTTGAAGCTCAGCACTTCTATGATCTTCTATGCTATTAAGTTGTTGTGTATTATGTATATTTTTAAACATTCTTCACCAGATAGAATAGTAGATTAAAAAAATTTGCCATATTCTTTCAAATTGTCTTAGGAAGCCTATAAAGACAAAGAGAATCATTGGTCTATATTTGAGCAATGTCCAAAGCACTGTTGAATTATTTCTTAGAAAATGCACCGTTGGCAATCCTGTAAAACATGTCTCCTTCAACCTTATCCATTTTCAGATACGGAGTAATTCTCTGTCACGGAACACTAATAACCAGGGAATCAGTGGTCCCTGTAATAAATACACGTTTGAAAACTGTAGAGTTCACCAGTAACTGGTTTTCCATTTTCCTTGTGCGTGTCAAGGCTTTGCTTTTTGAGGGAGTTGATTTGGAAGTCCCAGTATCTTGATCTTTTTTCTCTTGCCTCCACAGAAGGAAGAATCCCATTCAAAAATGAGGTGAATTAATGCTCGGGCACTCAGGAACCCCGGAGAGCTGCATGAGGTGTTTAAAAACTTCCTTGACCATCTTGCCAAACAAGTCACTGCTCATGAGGCCCGGCAGGATGAGTGAGCCAAGGAGAGACAGCACCCTGCCCTGTAGGAACGGCGGCTGCTGACCTGCTGAGAGCGAGCTCGGCCTGCCTGTTGTCTGCCAGCACCATGAAGGAAGTGTTGTATTGGTCACCCAAGAAGGTGGCAGACTGGCTGCTGGAGAACGCTATGCCAGAGTACTGTGAGCCTCTGGAACATTTCACAGGCAGGGACTTGATCAGCCTCACCCAAGAAGATTTCAAAAAACCCCCCTTGTGCAGAGTCTCCTCTGACAACGGGCAGCGGCTCCTAGACATGATAGAGACCCTGAAAATGGAACACCACATGGAAGCACACAAGAATGGCCATGCCAACGGGCACCTCAGCATCGGCATAGACGTCCCCACACCCGACGGCAGCTTCAGCATCAAGATGAAACCCAACGGAATGCCAAATGGATATAGGAAGGAGATGATAAAGATCCCCATGCCAGAGCCAGAGCGCTCCCAGTACCCTATGGAGTGGGGCAAGACTTTTCTGGCCTTTCTTTATGCACTTTCCTGTTTTGTTCTCACCACAGTGATGATCTCGGTCGTCCATGAACGAGTACCTCCTAAGGAGGTGCAGCCTCCACTACCGGACACATTTTTTGACCATTTTAACCGGGTGCAGTGGGCCTTTTCTATTTGTGAAATTAACGGCATGATCCTTGTAGGACTCTGGTTAATTCAGTGGCTGCTCTTAAAATACAAGTAAGTAAAGTAAAAGTTCTAAGATTCAATGATTGTGGGGTTTGCACTCCTGACATCTAATTATCATTTAGAAATGAGATTTATCAAGTAGTTGGAATCAACACATACTAATTCCTTTTTTATTTCTTTTTTAACCATGTGCCCTGCTGAACTAACTCACTCTCTGGCAGCTTTAAGCAAATGCTGTGTTTGTTGCTTGTTTTGTACAAGATTCATACAGAATGATGACTAGGATGGAATGTTAGAGATGATGTTCTGTTTTCACTTAACAAGAAGGAATATCCTCAGATGTCTTCCTCTGATGTCTTCAGAGTACAGGCTATTGAACAACAGATTAACCACCTAGTTTTGGTTGGTTAATTAACCCATTAAATAAATTGTTGACACTTGGCCTCTAAGCACTATGAATTGCTATATAGTGTTTCCCACACGGAGTCAGACATCTGGAACCTTAGCAATATGTATTTAAAGATGTTTCACACATAAAATTCAGAATGGCTTGGGTTGTGGAGAAAAGGTTACCCTCGGGGTAGGTGGGACTTGGATGAGCCTGAATGAATTCCCACCTTCTAGTGTGTGGCACTTAAAGCAGTATGCGGCTATCCCATTCGACTTTCCTAAGGTTTTAAGTAGTCACCTCCCGTTTAGTTTCTGGTGGATCCAAAGTGGCTTTCACATCCCAAGCTCTAAACTCAGCATGGAACCCCTCAGGCAGGCTATTTACTTGGGTCACCCGCAGCCAATAAACACCTACATTCCCCTTTCATTGGTGTCTGATTTTCCCTTTCTTGGAACATCTTTATGGCTTCCACGCATGGGGGTTGGAGCAGGGTTTGTTATGGAGCTGAGTTTCTCTCGGATGGACTGTATTTCATGACCCACAGTGTGGTTGAGTATTAAGGAAATCATCTTAAATCAAGAAAACAAAATGTAGACTTGAGAGTTCATGCTGAACTTTCTTGGACAGAAATGATGGTTTTTTTCCTGTTACGTTTTATAAGAACTGTGTTTTTTTTTAACTTTCTACATTAGTATCTGCAAATGGAAATAAAAGCAGTTCCTGACTCTTTTCCAGGGAAGGACTGTCTTAACTAGTGTAAAGGAAGTCATTTAACTGGCCAGTGTTTGTTTAGGGCTGGTTTGACAATCCTAGAGTTCAAGCTAACTTTGAAATAGAATTGATGGTCTGGGCTGTATTTGATTTGGTGAAGGACTTTTTTTGTTGCTTTAGTTTTAAAAGGCTAAGCAGACAGGAATAGGCTTTATAAATATGAGATGCTCAGAATTTATTATATACTTTCATTCTTTTGGCTACTGAACCTCAGTCCTGCTTTTGATTTTTTTTTTTTTTTTTTTGAGACAGGGTGTCACTCTGTTTCCCTGGCTAGAGTACAGTGACATCATCATAGCTCACTGCAATCTCAAACTTCTGAGCTCAAGCAGTCCTCCTGCCTCAGCCTCCTGAGCAACTGGGACTACAGGTGTGCGCCACCATGCCTGGCTAATTTTTCTATTTTTTTGTAGAGACAGGATCTCGTTCTTGCTCAGGCTTGTGTTGAATTCCTGAGCTCAAGCAGTTCTTCCACCTCAGCCTGCCAAAGTGCTAGGATTACAGGCATGAGCCACCATTCCCAGCCTTTTTGACTTTTAAACTTTTTTTCCTAAAAACCCATTGGGAAAAAATGCAGTACTTTACCTTTACAAAGGCAAGGTCAGCTCAAATTTTGCTTCCTGGTTTTTCTTGATGTTTGTTGTTTTGTTTCTGTGAGTTTTCTGGTTTTTCATCAAAATTCTTACATGCAAGCAAATAATTTACTGCCCCAGCATATAATTTTGAGTAAGTCATAACATGGATAAATCCAAATCTTTCACAGAACTGTTACTTTTAAGTAATTTTATTCGTGTTCTAAGAGAGTGTCCTAACTGTATATTTGTATATTTTTCCTAGCAAGGAATTTTCCTCAAATCTGTTTATTTTTAAGCTTTCTAATTTTGTATTTTCCTGGTACTTATTTCCAATACTATAGTCATTTATACATTTAAATTATTCAACAGCAGTAAAATTGTTGATTTGTGTCTTGGACAAAATTAACCTAGTATTAGCATGCAGGCAGTCATGACCTAACATGCTGGTGTGGGCAAATCCTGAAATATTAGGAGCCTTGTTTTTATCACAAATAAAACAGGCCTCTCAGTCTAGATTATTTCTGTTGTCCTATACAACTGTGTTTTATTTGATTCTAACATTATTGGATAAACTAATTATGTTTGAATTTTATTAGCTTCAGACTGTTTTTATCCAGAATGCATCCAACTAAGGATTCTTTAAAGTCCTCTCTGATTTCCAACTCTGATGGATAGGAATGTGGGAAATGGAAGCAGACTGTTGTCTGATAACCCTAAGCATCTTCCTACCCTGTTACTCTGCTGGGATTTATCCCTGGCTTCCCATCTCTCTCCTTGTGACGTCTCGTCAGCATCTGTGGCCTACTAGGCATGTAAGAGGTAGGAAGAAGGATACAGATGACATGTCAAGCAGTGAGTGTGGATGAACTACCTTTCCCTGGCTCTCATAAAGAAAAGAAAATCTTTTGTAGTGTCAGAGAGACCCCTTGTTTCTAGTTAATTGGTTATTGTGGTGTAGCCATTGTATTTATCTGGCATTTTGGAGAAAGGGATCCTTCTGGTTATGGGATTATTCTGTTTAACAGAGAGTTAATCTCTCCCTCTTTCTGTGTTTAACTCTTCTGAGTCTTGACCTTTCTACGACCTCCATAGGAGCTTTGCCACTAAGGATCCCATGTTACACAGCTCCTCAGAATTAAGCCTGTTTGGACAGTAATTTCCAATGGGGCATTTTACTTTGATTCTAAGAGGCCTGGAGCCCTTAAAAAAAACATCAGCCAATCCCTTCTCACTTCAGCCTCTTCTACATTTTAGAGGAGAACCAGAGGATGGAACTGTAGAGATGGCTTACTGAGAAATGAGATCACTGGAATTTGGCCAGGATCGCCTAAGAACAAATACCTTAACCAATGTTTGAGGTGCTGGAAAACCTTGATGCTGAATTTGTGACGTTGTGACATTTGGTTTTATCCCTGTGTTGTATATAATTGTCCTTCACTGTCAAACATAGGTTTTGATTTTTTGTACTTAAATTTACTTTTTCCCCTCCTTTCATTCTTAATATCTCCCCCTCATGCCTGTATGTATATGTTTATATATACATATATCCACATGGGATTTCCATGACATTTTGAAGTGGAAAGCAACAATAATACCTGTCCTTGAGAACTTTTTTTGGTTTTTAAAATTGTAAATAATGTTGTCTCCCATTTAGAATTGGACTTTCAAGCCACTGACTAGGAAAAATTCCTGGGAAATCTCTACATTTGTGTCAGACTTCACTGCAAAACAGGTATCCCTTGTTTTAAGAAAGCATGATAAAGAATATATTAAACTTACAGATTTGATAAAGCCTGAAGACTTAAAGACTATTCGTGCATGGCTAAATCATGGCTAACAAGGTGGCACCTATGTGTGATACGTGTGGCTCAGCTCTATTGGACGTTATAAACACCTGACAGTGAAAGCCAAGTAAGGGGACTGTAGAGTTTCCAAGTCAGCAGAGAAATCATTATGACTTAGTATGATGATCACAGGTACCTCAGGCTCAATTTGTCTAAAACTGGATTTATCTTTTTCCACCAACTTGTTCTTCCTCTTGTCTGGCCAGTGTCATTTCCTAGAAACCTAGAACTCCTCATTTCCTTTAATCCAGATAGTCACTAAGTTCTGTCAGTTCTGTCAGTTTTAATTTTAAATTAGATACATCTCTTCTTTCCCTTCCTGTTTAGTACTCCATAGCGCGTGCTCAGATGGAGAAACAACTCCGTTAGCTTTAGGTCCTTCATAATCCACTCCCAATCTGACCTGCCTTGTCTCTAGCTATTCCACGGTTTTCCTCCAACACTTTAAGCTCATCTCACACTACATTCTGGTAGTTGTGTATGTGTCTCTCTTTTTTTTTTTTTTTTTTTTTTAGCATATTATGGGGGTACAGATGTTTAGGTTACGTGTCTCTTTTGATTTTTAAGTTCCTCAAAGGAAAAACTAGATCCTATTCATCTTTATATCCCAGTGCCTGGCACAGAGTCTGGCATATATAAAGTGCTCATTTAAAAGTCATCCATTCATTCATTCTATTCATATTTATTGAGCAACCTACTAAGTGCTGGGTACTTACAAACCCTGGGGATGCTGCAACGAGCAGAGGACCCTGATGCTCTTATGAACCTTATATTTGGCCAGGTTAAGGCAGTCAGTAAACAAATAAATATATGTCAGCTAGTACGAGGGAAATGGAGAAAAATAAAGCAGTATAAAGGGCTAGCAAGTGTTGGAGTTAGTGGGGAGGGGTGGTATTTTAGATGGAATGATTGGAGAGGGCCTCTAATGAGATGACAGTTGAGAAGACACCTGAGTCAAATAAGAGAGATTGCATACAAGTGTTTGGGGAAGAGCAGTTCGGGCAGGAGACACAGCAAGTGCAAAGTTTTGAGGCTTAACTGAGGAACAGTCAAAGGCCTGGGTGGCTGAATGAGTTGGGGAGAGCCCTGGTACAGGAGGTCAGTGAGGTCTAGGCCGTGGATGAAGAGTTCGGGTTTTATTCCAAGTGCGGTATTAAGTCATTAGGGGAGAATAGTAAGAACAGACTAGCATTTTAAAAGAGTGTCCATGGCTGCAGTGTAGAGACTTAGGGAAGCAGAAGTTGAAGCAAGGGGCCTGGTTAGGACACCATTGCAGTAAGTAGTCCAAGGAGAAGATGGTCATGACTTAGACTCAGGTCACATTTGTGCAATGAATAAATTTTGTGCTGGGTCGTAGGAAGGGCCGAACTCTTTCTAGAAGCTGCGGCCTCTATTACATTTAGAGCTGCTTGTCTTTTATAGCTACAGGGCTGGCTTCTGTTGCAGTGTCTTTCTCATACAAGGTTTTCG